AAAGGAGGTCGTCTCAAGTGCTCTCAGCCTGGATTTAAAAGCATTCAAAGAAATCAGATCAGTTATTTTCCAGTCTTTTTGCAGCATGTTACATGTAGAAGGAGCAGAGTAGACGAAAGCCCTTTTTCCCCCAGCTCTGATTACAGTCAATCATGTCTCAAATTTAACTCGTATAACCAGTGATCAAATATTATTACGCACATATTTCTGGTTGTCATGATTTCATGGCAGATTTTGTCATGTTTTTCTTCACGTTTCCAATTAATTGATGTGTAAAAATTGACCTGAGGGCCACGTTGACGGTAAATTTAATTATTGTTCATATTGCACTATATTACATGATATTATACTACATTATATTATATAACTGCACTCTGCGTTACTGTGGTACAACACTGCCTCTCTTCTCTGCTGTTTACATTACTTGCTGCTATTTTATCATACCAAGTCACTTTAATCATCACTTGTCACTTTATCTTGTCATTCTCTGCAAATACTGTCTCAATTCCCCCCAGTTAACTTCATCATTGATTTTGTACTGTGTATACACCCCCTGTTTATATTTTTATTTATCTTATCTATTCTGTTTAAAGTGTATTTTTGAGCTTTCTTGTCTGTGCTGCTGTAACGAATTTCCCCTCTTGGGATCAATAAAGTATTATCCTATCTTATCCTATCCTATCCTATAAATGGGGGGGCCGCATGTGGACCCCCGGGCCCCCAGTTGCCCACCCCTGGCCTTCATGATGAATAAAAGGCTCCTATCATCGATGTGATGTGTGGACTGCTGAACCCACACGGTGAGCTGGCACTATGGGTGGAGCCACTCATTTATAGAAACAAAAAAACAACTTATTTATTTCGTGATTAGAGAAAACAGAAACACACACACACACGATATTCACTTTAGTCTACACAGTAATGTTTATAAATAAATCCCCATCGAGCACACATTAAATGGTCGGGTAAAGGCCGCCTGGTGAAAACTCTGCCCACTAGCCGACGTGGCTCTGCAAAGCAAGCTACCGCAGGAAGCTAAAAGCTAGGTAGCTACTGAGTTGAAAAACGCTAACTTGCAATGACGAAATGTGATAAACTACACATTTGAGATGTTTCGTTCAGACGAAGAAGGCGTTCATTACACTTGCAACCACTTTTATTCACGCAGTGTAAAGCATATACACCGAAATTCGCGATAGTTAAACCAGCTTAGCGATGTACCATAGCATGCTATGCCATGACATCATAACGAATGGGCTGCTTGTGATCTTTATTTGACTCCTCATTCCGTGTTTAATACTTTGTTGGCACTTTGATGTTGATGCATCACCATTGCCTGTTGTTGTCGAGCGGATAACCATCCCGGTATAGCCCAGTAGGAAACGAGCTGGATGAGCTAGTCAGCTACGTTGAACATCTTTCCTCCGATCCGTTTAAATTGAACCCTCGGGTCAAGTGAAAACTGCTTTCTACTCACCACTCTGTTCACCCAGAAAGACGAGCTTGAACTTTCGGAGAGGGTTGCCAAACTCTCCGCCGCCGGTCGTGGTTGACATTTTGACAGAAAAACAAACAGCTTTACTAGCTGACCTGGCTAATGATGTGATGTCTAGACCGAAGAGAAGCAAGTACTGTATCTTTATCCTGCACTAGTCAGCGCTATTGTTTTCTTACACCTACTGAAGTGAAATAGCGCAACCAAGAGGCGAAGATGGAGAGACAGCAGCAGAGGTGGAGGTGACGAAAAGCGTTTGAATATGCCCACCCTTTTTTCCCATTAAATGTCTTGTTTGTGTTTACAAAGTCATTCTTCTTGAATGTTTTGCAAAAGAAGAGGAAAGGGGGGGAACATGTTGTGGGTCTTTATTAAAACTATGTTTTTAAAACTGTGTAGATTTGGTACTGAAATTGGAAAGTGTGCGTATTGAATTGATTAAATTTATTTCAGACATATCAAGTAAAATCAAACATATCAAAAATACAAAACAAAATGAAAAGCATGAAAATACAAAAACAAAAAAATAATGTTCAAATTATTTCACAAAAAAAAGGAAAAAAGAAAATTACATATATTCAATTGATATGCCTGAAAAGGAGTAGGAAGAAGTATAAAACTTATTTAATCCTACTCCTTTTCCACAGCTCCATAATTAATATTTATTAAATTAAATTGTGTTCCTTATAAGCTCTCTCTATATACAATTTGCTATACTATTATTACTATTATTATTATTGGAAAGGGTGTGTATTAATTTGTTTTTGTGTTTGGACCCCCTTGAGAATGAGATGGTAAATCTCAAAGGGGCAATTCTTTACTAAATAAATTCAAATTCAAATAAACACCACTAAAGGCATATTAGTCTGTGTAGAAAATAAATATATTTTTAATTTACAACCATTTACGACTCTGTTTTTGCACATTTACATTTAATCTTTCATATTTAATTTATAACCATTTACGACTCTGTTTTTGCACATTTACACTTAATCTTTCATATTTAATCGTCCTATTTAAGACTAGTAATGCTTAGTTAAATCCTGGTTGTATATATTCACATTCTTATTTTTGATATCTTTTAGTACTTATTTACTTTGTAGTTAATATTATATCATGTTTAGATTTGCTAACATTGTGTTTTTTACTCATATTGTGTGTTGGATAACCTGCTGCTGTAACGCATTTCCCAGTTTGGGATCAATAAAGTAATTCTATTCTATATTGTATTCTATTCTATATTCATCCTTGAGCTTGTATAATAAATCCACTTTTTAAATATCCTTCCACTTTCGCTCTTTAAATCAATTTGCTTATTTATACACGGTTTTCAGTCAAAAAAACAAAACAATGCTGTGAACATACAAGAGACCGAAACAAAAAAAAAGCATGTCTGAAAATTTGGGGAAACAATGCGTTTATTCAGTTTTCTGTCATTCAACAGCAACACAAGTACGATTTTTTAGGGATATTCCTCCCACAGCTGTACAATCCGTCATAACACATCATGGCTCTAAAGACAGCAATATAGATTATTGATAAATGAAGCTTTCCATTTTAATTACAACACTTCCATTTAATTCCATTTTCATTACAACACTTCAAAAGAAAAAAGTCTACACTCTATACTAAATCAGAAAAAATTGACAATACATGTTTAAGTCTGAGTTTGATTCATTTTCAGTGAAAGAGCTCTCATGGGAATGCCCAATAAAATGAAGATGTACAGGAGAAATAAGAACATTGAAGTGACTTGTTGACACCCAGTGCTGTTCCTTAGTAATGTTGAGTTCCTTTTTGTTCTATATTGTCTTTCAGAGGTGTGATTTTCCTTTGCTTGTTGTCTCAGCTGTCCATGGACTCGAGTGAAATGTCTGTCCTGTAAGCATGTAAACAACAAAACAACTGATTACAACATTACCCCAAGGTAAATCATGGAATCCTTTTAATCTGATTTTACATACAACCATGGGCAAAACATGTTAGTCTAACATAATGCGCACTAATATAAATAATAAAGTCACTGTTTTCAAACTAACATACATGCTGCTATTCACCATACTTATATGGCAGCCATTTTCTTCTGATGCCGCATACCAGTGTGGGAATTAAAAACTCTGTTTTGATGTTGTTCATTGTTTGAAAGTGAGATATGAACATGAAGAGACCAAATGATAAAAATCCAATGTTTGATCAGCAACAGAGAAGAAAAATGACACAAACCAGTGTAAACCACCTAGCTAGCTATAGATAGGTTGTTTTACCTTGAAATGTGGTCAGATTTGGACCTATTTTTCGTCTTTTTAGTTGCTGATAAATCAAGGAGTGGAGAAATGCTTATATATTTTTCCTGATTAATTCTGTTTTTTTTTAAATGCCATCCTGTAATTCAGCAGTACAACTTTAGAACAACATAGAAACTTTCCAGCCTGAACTTGATGCCACAGGAAAATGCCCGCCAAGTGCATATGGTAAATTAGTAGCTACTGGAAGATTTTAATGAGGTTGTAGGGTTTGTGTTTCCTTCAAAAGTCCACATAACATTTATTACTATTTTAATCCTTGACCTACAATCCTTTGATTGTGTCGTAAACTAGATCTAGGCCTATTTATTTCATAGAGAGCACTTGAGTTGTAGCCAGTAAAGAAACAGTGTGAAACTATTGAATGGGAGGTGACCTCACCTGACTAAAGAGGCTTTTAGTCCAATTGGCTGTAGGTCATAAAGCACAAACACACAGGAGAAAAATATCAGCAGCATGTCACAAACATCAAAGCCACAAGACAAAATACATGTTTTCTACAGAGACTCTTTTTTACTCACACTTCTGCTCAGGATGAAGCAATGGCATGCAATGGAAGGATAAAGGGTAACACAAAAATTTCATTTGAATCAGTTAATACTGTTTATTTTGATCAAGTGAAATGTCTCATTCAGGAAGCATTTCAATGGCAACTGCATACCAGAATCACTGTACTCACCTGCGGGTTTTGGGGACATCAGAGTCAGAGGAAGCTCCAAAGTGACATCACTAAAAAAGAGAATAATTCTTAAAATTGTATAGAAAAAAACTATTTTTTTTATAATATTCATGCTACTAACATGCATCACAAATGTAAGAAATATTTACCCTCCTGTCAGGCCACCCAGAAGGCTTTTTGACAACAAAGAGAGAATAACTTTTAGTCTGCACAATTTGACAAAAACAGATTTGATATCATGTATGAACATTTTCTGTTTAGTTAAGCCTTACCCTCCGCTGGACACCATCAGATTGATCTTGACTTTATAGGAGATAATGATTCCCTGCATCTCCTTTTCTCCTTGGCTCCTGTGAGGGGTACAGGAATAGTTTATGGTTCAGAGCTGGGGGATTTGGCCTAAGTCACGATAAGTGGATGACACTGTGTAGGGTTGTATCACCACTCTTCACACTCCACAATAAGAGGATGAAAACCTGCCCAGAGCTCACTGTAAGCCCTCTGATGTTAGACCACTAGTCACTTACAGGGTGGTGGATGCTAGGTTGGTGTCCTCGTCTTTTAGTCTCCCATCCACTGCAAGGCCGCGCTTCTCTTTGTTGCTGGCCAGCATAGGGGTTATTTGGAAGGCCTTCTCAAATGTAGAGTTTGCGTTTACCGTCTCCCTGTGTAAAGCAATTAAACAAATGAATAAATAAATAATCAGATATATGTGACTTCACAGCGATTTCACTTAAGTTTGAAACTTAAGTCTAACATTTACACAGTTTAGCTGCAATAGCTGTGTAGCTAAATCTAGGAACAGGAGTTTTAGATATTTAATGGTGCTGAAAATGGCTTCATAAATTAATTATATTGAATCCGCATAAGCCCAGTGTTCCTGTTAAGCCTCATTTGATTCAGTGAAAGCCTTACCCAAACTCTTCAGTGCAGACTGCCTTGGCGTAAGTGTCAGATGAGTACAGCACCACATTTGTTAGCTGCTCAACTAAAAGTAAAAGAAAACATTCTTAGTCATCCTGTCTCTTTCTTTCATTTGAGCTACAAAACAGAAATGATCATGAATTTAGCCTCAATCAATCTTTAATCTGAACCCGTACTAAACAGTACTCACCTGACACTTTGATTTTCTTCACAACCTTGGTGGTTTCATTGTTGACTTTCACAGTGACAGTGATTGGATCTCCGTGGTAATAAATCTAAAATCAAAATGAGTTTGCTGTGATTAATGTATTAATTATTATTTTATTAATGCAATATGTAAAGCTAAAAATAAAGCATGTAGACGTCAATGAACCTCTTTTTCAAGGGAGGCCTCCAGGTGAATAGGCTTGTCAGTCATCATGAACTGCTTGGAGATATCAGCTTTGGGTCCAGCCTTGTTGCTGGCTGGTGCAAACTGTATTTTGCGGACCATCAGGCGACATGTGTCCCTAAGACAAGAAAAACAACACACACACAAAGAGTTAGGGTTAGTCCCTCTTTCTGCTTAGCTTGAGGATTGCAACTCATTAGACTTTAGCTGTTGGTATACATACTTCTTTTCAACGACTTCATCTGCATTGTTGGCCTCATTGGCAATGTAGCCTTTTACCTCAAAGTCCACACCACAGGCCTACAATAGAAGAAAACCCACATCAATGATTAGCTTGTCAAATATTTGTTAAGTTGTGCACGAGAAAGAAGAAAAGAGACTAGTAGTACCTTGCCAGCGTCATTTGGCCCAGGCTGTAAGGAGACTGAACATGGCAGATCTGTTGGCAACTGAAACAAGTAGAAACAAGGCACACTTAATAAATGAGGTTTTAGGTAGTGACTGGCAGTAAGGTAAAGTCCTGATCTAAGGGAGTATTAATATAAAACATCACTAACACAAGTATTAAATAATGTATTTTAAAATTGAGTTATTCCCTTCTCACCTGGAAAGAAAAGGGACATCCCTGCTCTCCAACTTTCTTTAGCAGTGACTCCTGCATTGGGGTTTTGGCTGTGCTTTCACCTGTAGGTGGATACACCTGAACCCGCTTGATCCAGATGTCTCTCCTGAAGGACAGCCCGATGACATCCAAGTCATCGCTTCCATAGCGGAAGGCACAGGCAAGGTAGACAAATACTGCAGGAAAGGAAAACGTTTATTTCATGATTTCCGTCCTGAATTGATGTCCTTAAACTTTCAGCATTGGCAGGGATTTAGATATAAATACCTTTTCTGCCTTCAAGACCAGCGGGGTCCACTTTAATAACACCATCTGCAAATGAGTGAAAACCCCCCCAAAAAACATGAGGAAAAACAAGAGAAACATTCATTGTATGTGAGGTGAGCAAATGTGAGGATGTAGAAACAGTCTTTGTTCCACACACCGACTGCTTCCACTGAACCCACATGGTCCACAAAGTCTCTCTTCCCCAAGTACAGGGTAATCTGAGGGAAATGGAGAAAAGCAGAGAGGAAAGCAGTCACTCCTCTCCCAAGGTTACAAAAGTTTAGAAGTTATTTCTGGGAGTTGGAAGAGCTACATAGAAAATGCACTCCTCCCTTTAACCAAAGAGTCACCCTGTAATGACAACATCATAGAGGCCACTTACATGCCCATTGCCGCTGGTCTTCTTAAATACTCTGAAAAGGGAGAAGAAAGAAAAAAACAGTGAATTGAACTTCTATTTCACACTTTTCTATTTCGCACACTAACGTTATTTAATAAAATAAAAGACTCTCATGACTCAAAATCAATTGTTTCACCACTTCTGTTATGGCTATAGATCATAGTGTTTACCCCCTCCCATTGTTGTCATTTCCAATTAGAGGACCACCCCCTCCACCCTCCCCCCCACACCTATGAGTATGGATTAGTGCCTGAGGGTGGAAAAGCACCTGCTGGCACAAGTCTCTAATCTTAGACAGCAAGATTTTAAAGTCAGTACATTATACTTTGTAGGAAATTTAAACAAATATTTGCCATTTCTCTCAGTAGTTATGGTGAAGTTTCCTATAACTGGCACACTCTTTACAAGCTCATGTTTGTGTTTCATAATTCTGATTCTAATTCTGATTCCACAAATATGACAATACAATTTACAATTGTGTGAAATTCTGATTCAAACCACAAAATATGAAGTGCATCACAATAGTGTCACATAACCTTGTGAGTGCAATCCTCTGCTCTGTGCATGTAACCTTAAGCAAATGAGTAATCCTTGATGATGGCTGCCCCTTTTGGTTGTGTGCCGAGTAATCCTGTTAAAACTTTTCTTTGTCTTGCCTCTCCTCTAAGATCAAATCCACACAATCCACGTTAATCAGGATTTATCTTTGCACAAGAGGGAGTCTCGGAGACTCCGCATGCCTCTGCCAGCCAAGATGTTAAATTCTTACATTTAAGCCACTAGGCTTCTTTCCTGAGAAGATATTATCACCTTGATCCCTACATGGGTCCTGACCCTCTCTTGTTTCCATTAAGTTAGTTTAAAAAAAACAAAAAAACATCTAGTATCAAAGGAGTTTCTTAAATGAACATATTAAACATAATTCAGGGATTATTAAGGATTGGCCTCTTCATTTCTTGATCTTGCCAAATATTGCTATGACTAAATGAATCAAAAGGTTTACATTTTAAATACTAATGACAACCAGATAAGATGAAGGACTACCTGCAGAATGAATGAAGTTAAAGAATTAAAAAAAAAAAATTATACTCACTTTGACATGTTGACGCAAGGTTAAAGATCAGGTCTGCAAATAAACAACAAGGAGTCTGTTACTTGATATTAATCTATAGACAAGACAAACAGGTAGAGCATTATTACAGAGCCTATTGCTTATTTAAATGTTATTAAAGAATGTTTTATCGCCATGGTTTAATTATTTGAGAGTGTGTCCAACATGAGGACATAGAGGAGGTTCTTAAATGGCTCAAGCCTTCCTCGTGGGAAATGTAGCTTTGTTATTAAAATCAATAAAGTTAAAATAATCCAGAAAATAATCTTCAAATTTGGTATATTGTGAAACATATTGATTCTGTTACATCATTTGAGTCGTTAAGCACATTATCTCCTGCTTCTGTAAATGCTGATACTCATCTGTGCAACAAATTTAAGATCATAATTATCAGTTAAAAACATCTCTAAGTAGTACACTTATAAAGCAATACATATACTAATGTGTGTTAGTTATCACAGGAGAAGCAGCTCACTTACCGTGTCCTCGGGTCTGTCAATGAGTCTTCTCCGCTGTCCTCTGTAATCCGTCACGGTGTGTTGACAGCTTGAAGAGTGTGAGAGTGGCAATCACCGTTTGCTTTTATACCGTGACCTCCCAACCTTGGAGCCCTACCTTCAGCTTACCAAGCCTCCAAAGAAGGCTGTTTTAAAGAAAATCAGATTAATGCATTAGAACGCTACCGTTTTGGTCCTCAGCGTGTGTAAAAATAATGTTGTGTTTGTTAAGATTTGCCGTTGTGGGTGGGGGGATAGACATGGACAGTAATACACAGTCCATGTCCTGGAGTTAAGCAATGGTGGTTAGATTAATGCATATTGTTTACCATATATTATTATTATATAATAGATAAAGGACATGAACAAAATTGGATGTTGCTCAAAATGTAAAAAAAAAAAAAAAAAAAAAGTCCTTAATATTTATCTTTAGTTTGTGCAGGAACAACTTCAACATTTTTGTCCTTGTCGAAAAGTTGTTTTGCAGCCAGGTAAAACATTAAAACATAAAGACAACACAGGCCCAAAGACTCAGGTACAACAAACATTGAAATAGATGAATACTGCAGGGATACATCAAGTGACAACCGGACACAGAAAGTGTAATACCGCACAATCAGCCTGCAACTGCATGTCATGTTTCATTTAACACATGTTTGGACTGATCAACATGCATTGCTATAACTACATTCCTTAATGTTCACTGAAAATTATTTTTGTAATAAAGCATAATTCATAAAAAAAAGTTTTGACAAAAGGCCTTTTTTTTTAACAGAATAATCTCAAAGCCTTTCCTTAATAAAACTTGATTCTTAATTGACTGTTTAAAAACTGGATTGCTATTGGTTACATGATTAAATATGAAGTATTTCATTTCTGCCTTTGCTTCAAGCTGAGATCTCTGAAATGCTTCTAGATCCTAACTGTAGTTAAAGATTATATGAATGGATGGTGTGCAAATGCTCAAGGACTTCCTTTCTTATAGCTTAGACTAGAGCAGAGTGGTATTAGTTGGATTGTGGTTGTTATGGTTGCCTGGAAAACAGATGGCTCCTCCAACAAGCAATCTGTGCTCATGGCAGGTTAACAGGAATCTAAGTGAGCTGCTGACTTACTGCACAAGCAACAAGGATTTACAACTTTAAAAAAACCCCAACTAAGATTACAAATAATCATGACAATTGATTGAAATGTTGGGGCTAAGCACAGAACGTTTCTGGTATATATATATATGTGTCCATGTGAGGGAACCAACACAGTTTTTCGATAGGGTTCAGCTTACACAGATTTATTTTGTTCCTGATTATAACCTCAGCATATCTGACTTCATGAGCTGAATATTTGAGTATGGGTCACTGTAAAGTTGGACTGCTTCATTTCAATCAGAGTCAAAGGTCTTGGAGGTGACCTTTGAGAAGGCCCTGTCTCCGACATGACACCCTGCAGACAGTTAATCCGGCAGTTGGATTGCTGGAGGATCTTGTCACTTCCTCAGCCAGTTGTAATTGATTAATTAATGAGGGCGCTAGGTGATGGTGTTCATAAGAAGGATTGTTACAACTGAGGAGTCAAGGATAATTAATTAGATTTGTGGTTGTTGGGCTCTATTGAACTGTCATACAGGGACAAGGTGTAAGATCTCTTTAAAGCGAACAGCACTACCACACACTGTGGGCAATGAGCCAAGAGTGCACAAACTCAAAGTTAAGCTGTTTATTACATTAAAGCTGCTACATGTTACTCGTAGCTTCTCTGTAACATTTACGATTGTACATTTATCTCAGAGGCCATAAAATCCAGAACAGCCAAGGAACTTTGGAAAGCATGCTTCAGACTGCTGCAGTTCACAAAATGTTCTTGTCAGACGTTTTAAGCAAACAGGAACACTTGGAAAATGGTAGTTTTTTTAAACAGGAGGCTGTTATGACGCTCCAAAATCACAGACAAAATGTGAGTAAAAAGAGGTCATACAAACTGCTGCCCTGGAAAAAAGTATCAAGTAGTAACAGTATCATAGTTTTCTGCCCATTTCAGATTCCAATACCTGGACTTAAATAGTTACTGTTAGAGTTCTCCATTAAAACAATTCTTGCTGTTATTAATGATCTAGCTCACTATCCTGAAGCAGTCCTAACCTTAAAAGAAAGTGAGCTCAAGTTAGTCGGTTCCTTCTGATGTCCTGTCTCTCCTGGAGACTGTCAGAGAAACCTATATAACATAAAACTGTTTTAAATGTCTTTCAATCATGTTAAAACAATGCTCTTAAAATGTGGTGTGTGACTACACTGGTTGCTGACATTTTATGGTTTGTGACTAACGTTTCATTCCCCACTCAGTCAGTCACTGTGGTTATTATTCAAATTCTTTGGTGCTCTCTTAGTTGCTAGTGGCAGATATGGTATACACACATTGTTATTTAGGCTACGGTTTCGAAAATGCAGCAAAGCGGATTCGTTGTATGGCATGTAAAACACAATTTGTATATTACTCTCTATTGTTCCTGAGATTCAAAGTCTTGCCTTTTTCGAGGTATTTGATATCTTAGAATGTCATTTTCAACATTATTCCCTGAAGATACAAAAGCTACAACTTCAATTATTAATCACAAAATGCAACCAGTGCTTCAACAGTATGGCATTACTCATTCTGATACATGCTCTTTGCGCTTCACTGGGCCAACAAAACCACATAGGGGGCCACAGTAGACAAAGTGAAACAGCACTGCGTGTGAGTGTGACACTTTGTTTGCCACGCTTATGACTCAACTGAGGCAGTCTGTCAATGCTAAAGGAATGCATGGTTCATATTTACGGGCCTTCTTCGGGTAAAGACAGCTTTGACGTTAACTGTTAGATGTTCATGAGCTGTGTGGAGTAAAGAAATGAAAAAATGAAAAGGTGACACAACTTCCTCCATAATCTGTTCTCTCGTGAGCTTACCAAGTTCACCAACCAGGTCATGAATGAAAAGAAGGAATCTGATGAGATGTGAATGCATGGCTTAGTCTTAATTCTTGTATGACTTTATACTGATCATTTATTCACTCTGATCAGCAACATTTCAGATACATATTTTCAATGTTGTGCTTACATCATGTACTTGCATGTTATATTTTTGTATACTACATAATACCATCCAAAGACTCTGGAAAAAAAAAACTTGCATAATCTTATTTTGTGTACTCTTAATGCTGAACTGTCTCTCTTGGTTATTCTTGTTTTGTCTGTGGGAGGCTGCATACAGTCACATAAGCCCCTTACAGTTAATCCGGAGCTGTTTTTGGCAAGTGCTTTATATAGACAGTCAACATTGTCCCTCAAAGAGACTAACTGGTCCCACTGTGTTATAGCACCATGGTATTACCTCTTCTTAACAACGCAGTCTTCAGTGTGCTGCCAAATGAAGACGGTTATGAAGTGGTTGTTGCTAACGGTAACAGACTCTGTAAGATACTGATCAAAGCTTCGTAATGATGGTGAAATGATGTGAGTGTATTCCTTAACCAAGACAACACCAATGACTGTAGTCAACATCACTGATTGGAATGATTTAAGAACTATGAAGACAAACACATTCTGAGTATGAACTCCAGCTACATGTTGGGCCTGTACAAGGAGCTTACCTGTCGGCTTTCTGCCAATTATGTTGTGGGAAGTTTAGCTTGCTGTATTTTTAGGAGTTTTACTCACCAGCTCAACACAACTGATGCTGTAGCTCTCACGTTTCTGTTGATGCCATCAGGTGGAAATGCAGCTGTAATGAACACATCACTATCCACAGCAAGTGTGTCACTTATGATGAGGTGTACAGAGTGTTCTCTGTTAAAAAAATGATTCTGAAAATAATTAGCTGCAGAGCATTTCTTTAAAAATATATTAGTTAGAAAGTTGAGGATCCTGTATTTTAGTAAAGCAGATTTATGGTATTACAGCTCCTGTGAGGAGCTTCTTTCAGGTTATAAAACAGACTGAAAATAATACTGATGTCTCTTTATGAACTACAAAAGCATTACAATTCATAAGTAACTGCATTAATCATTTGCATATAGGGTCGGTGTCATGCGAAGTGGGTTATAACTTTCGCCCAAAAAAAGGCCTTTGTTAGCATATCCTACGGCAAAGAAATACGTTGAGTGTAACATTCGACTGTTCGATGATTCGATGATACTTTGTCCACAGGGGGCACCGAAATCAGCACAATCCAAAAATTCCTCACAGATGCTTTAAATAAAATCCATTGCATGCTTTACTAATTATTTTCATATTACTCCCCATGAGTATTTCATCCTGCATGTTATGTAGAAATGGGCTAGCTTGAATTATTATGATATACTGAGATTGTTATGCATTTCCTTTATTATACTGTAACGGTATTTCTTGAGTTAATAGATGTTAATTGTAAGTTTAATTCTTGGTTGTCTTGCTGTTAACTGTACGCTGAATAGGCCTCACTAAAGACACCTAAAGGGTGTGGGTAAGCAAGAGCACGGGGACGCCTTCTGCTGTGTGTCTGGTACACTTCTTAATGTCGTCTCCAAGCATAACATAACATACACAGACTGAACAACGATAACTGTGATACATCACTTCACTTTTCTTTGAAGCAATATCACCAAACATGAGTTACCTTAAAGGTAAAGTTAAAACAGTAACTTGCTATTGTATGTTAAGTACAAAATATAAATATGAATGAAGTTAGCCTTAAATCAAATAATGTTCATCGTCTCAACCTGAGAAGAAAAAGATCTACAAAATAAAACTTTTAAATAAAAATCCATCTCATCTCCATCTTACATTACTTTTCATTATTAGCAAGACTACAGCTCCTTTAGCATCTCAGTCGTACAATCAGGTATCTCTGATCTCAGGTTACTCTGACTAATGAAACAGTGTTAATTCTATTTGAAATCTAGATTACTGTCCCAGGTGTCTTCAATGAAATGTTAAGCCTCATACATCCACTTTTTTTCAAACTATTATAATGTTATTGAAATATACTAATAATCACACAACATATTGAAGTATTTCTACATTCTGGGGAGCCCACTGCCAGAAATATCCTCCATCGTTTAAAAATAATAATCAAATATTTTCTTAGCAATGCTAGTGGCATGGCTCCTAGGGTGGCAATTAATTGTTCTGTAGGCCCACCACAATTTTGTAGACTATAATATCTCATTGACATCCATCCAGAAGGTTTATACAGACCTTCATGGTCCCCAGAGGAAGTATGCCAAGACTTGAATGATCCCCTGAATTTCTTTAGTACCATTAGAAGGTCAATATTTTCACTTATCTAGTAATCTGGTCATCTAGAATTCACTTTAACATACAAACATGGATTAACACAACATTTGGTAGACACATCTAGGGTTCCAAGAAGATGATTCCTGCTTTAATTTAGTGATCTCCTAATCTGGAATTATTGGTCTTTGTCAACTGGGTCTGCAACTTTGGTCAAAACCGAACATTTAAGAAGTGTTGGGGTGAATTGCCTCAACAACTTTTACAGCTGTCTATGTTTACCAGAGGATGCATGCCACAGACTTTACTGTCTCTTCTGCACCTCGGGGTGAAAGTGATTTGGTTTTCAAATGATTATTCTCAAAACTAAAGACAATCCCATTTCAAGCATTTGCACTTTGTCTTAGCTGCTATTTAATAGTTAACTTGTTTTCACTGCAATTGGGAGCCTGTCAAGTTTAACACTTAGCTCAAATCAGCGCAGTGCCATATCTTTCAATAATGTGTATTAGAGAGCTTGTAGAACTTGTAAAGACTGAGGTTTAAGTTTATGTGTCATCAGATTGGGATGGACTGTGTTTATTTGTTTTATGGGGGATGCGGTTGGTGGTCGGCACATTTCTGCTGAGTAGTGAGAAGTTGAACAGCAAATATGGGACTGAATAGCTTCCCACAGAGTTATATGCTGCAGCTAATGGAGAAGGAGGGAAGTATGGGGGGGAATAACGGGCGATGTTGTAGGAGGGCAAAAATAAGAAAGTGAAGTATGATCATAACCATATGGAGGCTGCTTTTTGTTGAGAGGGAAGGAGTGAGCAAGAGAGGAAGGAAAGCACAGGCAGGGTGACAAAAGAAAAAAGGTTGGGATCAGCGAAAGAAAGGGTGAACAAAAACAAATATGCCTTCCAGAGGATTAAACGTCTCAAGATAAAGATGCTAAAACACAAATAAAAAAAACAGAGGCTAAGCCAGGTCACCGGTGTGTGGAAAGCTGTTTCATGTGGGAATTTGAAGGGAGAGACGGGGCAGTGGCTTAGGAGGAAGTAGAAAAGAGAGGGAGGGAGAGAAAAAGGAAGAAGTCTGGTGTTTCACACACTGGTGTGGAAGTTGAGCCCCTCGCAAGAATTCTCCTGGCTATGTCCGCCATCTGGAATGCAGAGTCACTTCCTCTGTCTGCTTTGTGCTCTAGCGGGGTTGTCCTCTGACTCTGTACTCCCTCCCTCTGCTCTGACAGCGCTCTGAAGAACTGCTGGAGACCAAACCCGTGAGGACAGGACTCTTTTGACAAGACACACGCCAGCGCACAAACATCCAGAATGAAAGTGAGACCCCCGAAGTAGCCCACATCCAGCCAGACGCACGCCTAATGGAATCTGGGCCTGGAAGGAGCAAAGACAACTGGAGTCATCAGCTGAGCTTTTTGGAGGGTGTTCCTATTCCCTTATATGGAAACAGAGCTGAGAAATCATTTGAATTAGTCTGGTTTTTGTTGCATGCCTGTCTGGTTTTAGTGCTGACTGAGTTCCATCTGGTGTGTTTCTGTCTCTGCTGAATGCATGCGTGAGCGTGTGGGCTCCCTCTGTGCAGTTTGATTTGTTTATTTTGCCATTCTTGGTTCTTCTTTTCCTGTTGTTTGCATGTGGGCTTTTTGTTTTGGGGCAGGAGGAGGGCTTGTGTTTGTGGTTAAGCTAGAGACAGCGTCATTGCCTCAGGGGTGGCTGCTTCATTCAGACTTACAGCACCCTCTCACTATTTTCCCTCTACCTCCCGTGCCCTGCTGTGATGGTCTGTGTTTGTAAGAGCAACACACCCACCTGGGTGCAGCAACCAGCGGACAAAAGCTGAAACCAAGACCCTCTACACAAGGAAGTAATCAGAAAGGTGGACTGGAGCTTCTTCGGACTAAGCTGACATTCAGCGGGATGTTTCTTCTTTTTTCTTCTAACACAACAAGATGTGTTACGCTGAAGGAACCGACAGGGACCAAGGAAGCTAACATTGTTTGGGTGGTCAGTCGGACACTTTGATTATGAAGAAAGTGATCATGGGGGAGTTCACTCAATGGCACTGACTCACTGAATGACAGATCGCTAGGCAAGCCTGACACAGTGAATGTGCATTCAATTAGTGTCATGTGAAGTTCATCACCTCATGTGGATTATTTTTACGAACATATCTCCTAACGTTGGTTGCCATGGCTACGGCTGCATGGTATCATCGTGACATCAGCCGTGTGCACGCAGAGGACTTGCTGGCGCGGGCAGGGAGGGATGGCAGCTACCTAGTGAGAGATAGTGAGTCTGTGCCAGGAGCCTATGCATTGTGCCTGCTGTGAGTACACACATACACACACACACACACACACACACACACACACACACACACACACACACACACACAAACATACACACACTACTACACATTACATAATGTACTTAGAGGACAGCTAGTTTATGTTAACCATCACAATCATGTATATTGCCTTTTGTACTTAGAGCAATTTAGTATATGTGTTCCCCCCCTGTACATTTCATGTGTGAAAGACTTGGAGATTGAATGTCTTTATAGTTCTGTAATCCAGAATACAGTACATGGGTTGTTTTTTCCCCTGTTTTAAATAAATTTGTTGCATGGGAATTTGACCTTGTAGTTACCAGGAATCCTTTTCAATAGCAGTTACTGAATCAACTGTTATTTGTCCCATTTTGTGAGTTCCACCTTCTTGAAAATATTTAATGAATGACTCACTCAGGATGTCTTGAAGTAGTGAATGCTGCCCCTCTGTAAGAAGAAAACAAAAATCTGTTTGACTTCATGTAAAACCATAAATGATTAGCTAATCCTGTGACTGGTTTCAATTTTGGCATCTCGGGCTGGAAACTATTCATAAGATTTCTGCAGAATATCAGCATCTGTAAATTGATTCAGCAGCTTCACTCCCCCTGTCATATCCATCTCTTTCACCATCAGTAGCCAGCAGGCTTAAGAACTGCTTGAAGTGCCGCAAGCGTTACGGGCCGGGCTAACCTCACACATACACACTCTGCCGACCAGTGGGACGGTCCCGTCCAGAACACGGTCCATCTCAGCTAGTGAAAGCCTGGCTCAGGACTCCCTGTTTCCCTCCTTACCCCTATTTCTTCCCTGGGGCCCCTTAAAGAGGGCGGGAGCTACAGCGACCGCACTACGTTGACTGCTCATCAGCCTGAGCCAGAGACATTCCTGAAAGCTGAGCCCGGCCACTCGCAGTGCTGCCTCTTTCTCTTCGTTCTTTTCTCAATATGTCATCCCCACATTTAGTTCCTTACTTTTCTTCACATATTTGGTTGAAATTCTACTCTTATTTTTCCCCCTTTGTTCATGTAAGAGACAGTAGCTGACTGCTTTTCATCTTCACATGCTGCCTGAATCACATCCTCTGAGTTGACTGATGGAGATGATCATCTGAGTGTCACACATTCACATTATTATTGTGTGACTAAAACAAGCCACGTATCTATTAAAGGACTGGCGCCTTATTAAAAAAGTTACAGTGTCTTTGACTACAGGCCATCATCTGGTTCTTATATTAACAATATATTTAAATACATTTTCATTTTGAATATTTGCACAAAATACCGTTGTAGTACTTTGTAATGCCATTAATGATTTATTTTTGGTTTCTGAAGGTTCCAACGTCATGTTCACACCTATCGTATTCTTCCTGATGCTGATGGTCTTCTAGCAGTCCAGGTGAGTTCCCATCGGCACAGGACACTGCCTGACGAAAGAGACAGTAGGAAAGACATGACAATAGATGTCAAAAATCTTTGTACAGACTGTGCACACACGCAGAAACACAGCTGTAAAGACGGAGTCAGACGGATCAAACAATGGTTTATTATTTGCCAGTTGTAAGGAGAACAGGAGCATGTTTGTGTTTCCTCTCTGCACAGGCTCTGGTACCACTGCAGTAGCCTTGTTGTTTCAATGGCATCTCTGCCATGTGGCTGCATACTTTCAGCATAAGCTCAACAGTACAGAGGAGAAATTGTTTTTACGTCTGAAAGATTCCTTCTCAACCCACACACTAGGTCATTGACCAATGGGTGTGTTTATTTGTTATACTGTATGTATGGGGGTGTTTGTATTAGACTTAATGAGTCTGTTGGATGTGGACGAGTTGAAGCCTGTGATGATATGTGTCTCTGTTTGATACCCCGAGCAGGGGGAATTGTCTGCTAATGACGCCAATAAATAGGAAATAAAAGCACACACAGGCACAGTGTTTGCAACCACAGAACAAACACATTCAGTGGTTGAGAGAAGAGTGTGTGAGAAACATTTTCAGGGCCTTAACCACATCTGGCTCTTTTTTTTTTAAAGTATGACTGTATATTAAATTCCAAAAACACGCTTAATAATGATTTTGATGAAGTGGTTTTCAAGCCTTTCACTTGGACAAATCCTTTGCTCTCACATGAAAACTCCATTGCTATTTCAGTTGTTTTTCCACAGCCATCAGTTTGAACCTCCAGTATGTATTTTCCCCTCACTGGATTTGCTCCACTAACTCACAAGTTGCATGCTTCCCTTTTTTGCTTTTCCAACTTGGCCATGAAGATATTTTTGGGACTGTTTTGTCCCTCACTGTCTCTTACTCCTTGTCATTTCTTTTTAATTGCTTTTCAAGAGATCCTTGTGGTGCAGAATATACCGTATGAAAAGTTTCTGGCAAGAGTCAGGTCGGACCAAAAGAAAACGGTTTATTTAACCACAAAATGAAAATAACAATTCTGAAGAGGAAAGGAGCTAGGTTGGTATTGTGGTCTAATGTGTACTACCGGTATAATGGTTTTACTCATGCTACAGTTTCTTTGTGAGTATGTCTGTTTAGCACCTGCACACTGCATCTGTATTTATTTTATCCTAATTTTTGCTCATGATGCTTTAGGTGCCACTGAAATTAAGCTGTGCAAGTACTTTCTGGAAGGTTGGAGGAAAGGCACGCTTGTTCTTGTGGCCTAAATGTGTGAATGTATGCATGTAAAAATGCCTCCACCGTGTGTTGTTTTAGGGGCTTGTGGTGGTGGTGGGGGGGGGTAGGTGCTTGTGCTTGAATCACAGTTGAAACATGACAGCCAAAGCGCTGCTGCAGCCACAACGTTCCATCTTATAGCTTTAATACAAAGTAAAGGCATTCACATTAAAGTGTATCATGTTAAAGCTATGAGGAACACATCATCTTGTTTACAACTCCCATACAGCCTCAAATGTGTTATTGGGTATTTGCGTTTGAAGCAGGTTGATACACCAGTGAGATATCCTAATTACCCCCCCAGAACAACTTTTTTATTCAAAATAGGCTAATGTTGTATTAATTTTATTTTATTTTATACAAATTAGATTTATCGAAAGAAAAGATGCAGGTTAGGTGGTTTTATCTGTTATTTCTATATTGACGAAATGTCTTCTCTCAGTTTCAGGCTTTGTTTAAAGCAATGATAGACTGCTAACTTACATCTTGATCTGAATGATATGGCAAATACACTCATTTACTTTTGTCTTGTGTGTGTCTCTAACAGACAACACAGGGGGTGCAGGTGAACTGTTTCCGGACTCTGGAGGACCTGGTGTTGGGGTACCAGCATCCCCACAAGGGTTTGGTCACTCCTCTGCTCTTCGCTGTTCCTCGGGATACTGACACAGGGGATGAGAGCTCAGGTGGGCTTATCGCAACAAATAATTTGAACATTTGAATACATGTGCTTTGCATATGATGAAACATATTTAAATCAGTTCACAGCAATAATAACGCTAATACTCTGAGTGTAATTTTATCTTTCATGTTCAGACGATGAGAAGCCACCTCCAATCTCTGTCAGCACTGTGCCTATCACAGGACCACCAGCAAAACCAGCCCACCATGTACCATTCCTGGATAAGTTACAGGAGCTGAACATGTCCAGGTACAAAGTAACACTTATCTGAAATAATAAACAGTCATAAGTTCTTAAAAGATGTTTTCTTTCTCTGTGCTCATGTATGCTGCATGTACAGCTTCGCTTACATTATTTAAGTGTGTGACAAAGTTTCTGTCAAACTGACTGTCATACGTCAGTGACTTCCTTCTGGAAAGAGCAGACTCGTGTAAAAATAAGCTTCAGTTCAAAGCTAGTCAACATTTTCTGATGTCAATATGCACCTGTTGTCAATCAAGCATACAAAGAGCAACATGTGAAACTCTGTGCATTTTTTTAACGTATAAATAAACAGCGTCGATGTATCTTGCCGAATACAGAAAAGGATTCGGGCCACTGAACATTTTTTTTTCTCAGAATTCTGAGATTACAATTAGAATTCTATGAAAAAAGTTTTTTTTCAATCTGAATGCTGAACTACTCCTCTTGGCTTACCCTGTTTCTTTTATTTCCCATTATATAGAACACAAGCAGCTTTAATCTCCACGGAGCACAAACTGCTTGAACAATATAATATATATTACAGTCTGATTTATTTTTATCCCGCCTTCAGTACTGCGGGTGAGGTGATTGGTTTACTCAATGACTACCTCTTCAGCGAGCTGCCTCTCGACATTGAGAATGTGCAGAAAGGAGCAACAACCCTACGCCACCTCAAGCGTACTCTGGGTACTGCCTGCCAAGGCCTCAACAGGTTAGCATGCATTTCTTTTTTTATTCTATATGATTAACTGGAAGTGAAACTTTATGCACAACAGGTTCTGTATGGATGTAAATAGATGTACAAACATTAGAAAGAAGTTGTTTTTTTGATCTGATCTACAGTGAGATTGATCTGACTCTCTCAAGTTTGGAGACCCTGGTCAAGGTCTTTGACCATCCCAGCTGCTCTTTGACACACACCAAGGCACAGGTAGAATACAAAGCATGCATTTTGCTTTCCAGCACAGTAACTAGCCATTATCTCTGAATTTGTACTGCATGTTGGAGATTATGCATATGATCCATTAACCATAAACATTAAGTTATTGTGCCTTTCGTCTTGTGTTTTAAAACTAGGGACCAGAGATGGAGATAGACATGCTCGTGTGTAAAATCTCAGCTTTGGTCGGCCTTCTTTCTTCACTGGAGAAAAAAGTATGTTTTATGTTTTTTTACTTAAAAAACTTTTTTTACTTACTTAACTGTTTCTAGGGTTCAGAAAGTGTTTTTTTTGGGAGGGAAGTAGATGTATTAACAACCCTGGTTAAGTTATTTAAGTTCAAATTTTCTGTTTATAAAGGTATTGAAGGCATTACAAGATGCAGTGACGCATCATAACCTAGCTGTGCAGCCTAACCCACCACCTCCTGAAACAACATCCACCAATGTTGCACCTGTCAAGAACCAGGCCAGGCAGCTGCCAGTCCACTCCTTTCAGGTAAAGTGGTTTGAAAAGGGCAAAATCAACCATACGCATGCAATTGGCCTGTATTAAGTTAGAAAGTTTACTACAAAATAAGATATCTGATCGCTGACAGTGTTAAAATATTACATTTGTTTGTTCTTTGTGTCTAGGTGAAGATGGCCAGGTATGGCAGACAGACTGTTTCTGTGGACGTGGACACAGGAGTGCTGGAGTGCTTTGACAGAAAAGCTGGATCATTTGACATAGAAAGGGTCTCACATGACAGAAGTAAGACAGTATTTCATTTTCAGTGCCTGTCATAATACTCTTTCTTGAAAATATACTGGTTTAATTGTGCAGAGGGGTTTTGCATTTATATCAAGTCATTCAGATTGTCAAGTTCCAGAGCAGTCCTGCAAAGGTGCGCATAGTGGTAGACAGCCACCACAACACACCACGGGAGATGACGTTTGAGAGCACTCGGGTAAGGCAAAAATAATAACTTATTTTGTTGACTCTAGTCCTTGTTTTATTTCCCATAATTCACTGTTTGACTTTCATCTCTCTTAGAAACGAGATGCCTTCTGCCAACTCCTTCAGCTGATGAAAAGCAGACACTCTCAGCTGAGTGAACCTGACATGGTCTCTGTGTTTGTTGGCACCTGGAATATGGGTAACCATGAATATGACAGCAGTCGATGTCACTCTCGTGTAACAGAAAAGTCACTAGTGTGCTAAATTAGAAGGATTTAGATTATTTACCGTGTTGTCTTGTGTACACAGGGAGTTCCCCTCCACCACGCAGCTGCAGTCGTGGGTGACCTGCTGCGGTTTAGGGCACACCCCCGATGAGTCGACTGCCTTGCTCCCAGATGACATCTACGCCTTGGGGACTCAGGAAAACCCTCAGGGGGAGAGAGAATGGACAGAACATGTCAAAGCAACCCTTCGCAGCTATACTCACATCGACTTTAAACAAGTAATTTGTTCTTTTCCCCACTTTCTTTCCGCTTCAGCTGTTGATTCTGAATGTGTGTGGCTATGGAAATGCTGCTCCTTTTTCACACAATGATTCACAAAATCGAATACCCTGCATACATAAAAGGGTAAACTACAACAAATAACTTCTGATTTAACACATCAAAGCCTTTTTACAAAAATGAAAGATATGCAGCTTGTGTTCAGTTATATCGTCATTGTTTGAAATGCGCATCTGACTTTCACTAATGTCATTCATAAACATCCAAAATCATTTCTCATGCTCTAAAAAATGTGCCCTTCTGTCTAAACAACTCAATACATGGTAGATTATATTGTTAGATTAAGATTCCATGTGTTTATTATTTTGCAGTAATGTGCCCTGAAATGAAAGAATCGCCTCATGTTTCTGGATTTGTTTTTTTTCAGTGCTTGTGTAAACTGAATTGGAGCATGACTTTTCAGGAAAGGGTCTAATCCATTGAAAAGCAGAAATCATGTGTTCTCTGATTTATAGGCTGTCCTTGTCTTCTTCTACTGTAATGTGGTTCTTTGTCCTGTAGGTGGCAGTACAGTCCCTCTGGAATATGAGGCTGGCTGTGTTTGTGAAGCCAGAGCAAGAGAGCCGAATAAGCCATGTGAACACAGCCAGTGTGAAGACCGGCTTGGGAAACACTTTGGGTAGGCTGGCCTGCACAATCTCACATCACAAGTACAGTAAAATAGAAAAGAAGAGTTCCTATAACAATACACCAGTGCTTGATTAATAATAATAACTGCTGGTTTAAGGTTGAGAATGTGTGTTGTTTCAGGAAACAAGGGGGCTGTTGGGATTTCCTTCCTCTTTGGAGGAACATCTTTTGGTTTTGTTAATTGCCACCTGACCTCTGGAAGTGAGAAAGTGCTGAGGTACATTATGTCGATAAGACCAATTATACGTGCTCTCGTTTAATTCATTTGTAGTATTAAAATGATTTATAATTACAATGTATGCCATGTTCAGGAGGAACCAGAACTTTGTGGACATCCTCAGGTTGCTCTCTTTAGGGGACAAACAGCTCGGCGCCTTCGACATCAGCCTGCGCTTCACACATCTCTTCTGGTGTGGAGACCTCAACTACAGACTGGACTTGGATGTACAGGTCAGACCTAAAGTTATTATTTCTACATTATGATTATTATGATTACATTATTAATTCCTCATGTCCTTAGTATTCTGATTTAGCTTCCTTAAAGACCTGTTGTGGCTTAACAATGGACACTGATGCCTCTCTGATTTCAGGACATCCTGAAACATGTCTCTAAGAGAGAGTTTGAGGAGCTCATGTGTGCAGATCAGCTGACCAGAGAAAGACACAAGAGGAAGGCCTTTCTCAACTTCAGTGAGTTACGTTTTGCTACTGATCTCTGATCTATATGGAGAGCTAAAAAATAGCTGATCAGGTAGTTATTTTACTGTAAACACACGTCAACATGGAGAACAGAAGCTTCAATTTAAAAAAATGACTTGATAAAGAAATACAACATAAAGTATGCCAAAAACATGAATAAAAAAACATGTAGACTTTATTGAATTGAGTTAAAGTGACATAAATTGATATATCTGTTTTAATGAATCTTTTTTTATTAACTTTCAATATTAATTAACCTGTTTTTTTACTGTTCCAAATGATTTAGCATATTTCTGTATATCTTATTATTCAATGATGCATTGATTGGGAAAAATCTATTCTTAATTTCTTAAATGTATATTTATTTTCTCCATTATTCATTCAAATCAAACAGAAAAATCTAAATAAATTCAAGCAGAAGTGATTTAAAAATATATCATTTTATGTCACATTTTATCATTTAATTTTATATCAAGATAATTTTTTGCTTTATTGAATGGCATATTAATTGATTTACCTTTGTCATATTTTTATATAAAACGTTTGCAGCTTCTGTCCCCATACATAAATTCTGTTTATATTTAAAAACAAGATAAATAAATACTGTGTTAATCCTGATTCAGCTCCATCTCTGCTCACCTCACTCTGTACTCCTCTCTGTTTATCGCGCTTAAGAGGAAGAGAAGATCGCATTTCCACCCACCTATCGGTATGAACGTGGCTCCAGGGACTGTTACCTTTGGCAAAAGTACAAGACTTCAGGAGTGAGTAATGTGCTCTAATACCAAAACACCTCAGAGAAACACAGAATGATGAGTACATGTTAAAAAAGCAATAAGACAAGAGTGCATTTATACAATTAAAACCATTTCTGAATCTTTGAGCAAAAGCAAGACGAAGCTAAGACACCAAATTAAGTAATCTTTTGTAAAGCCAAGATTTACAAAATCAAGATTTCACACCATGCCAGTAGTGTGGGTCTGCTGAAGGCAGCGTTGGCCTGCTTCTTGGTCCATCACTGTGGTCCAGGCTGAACATTTTGGTGCTTAATGAAAGGGTATAATGCATCCTAAAGACCTGATAACAAAGAATGAGGAACAGCCTCCCAGAGGCCCACAGAGAGTGTTACATTTAAGATCCAAATGTTCCTCACAAGTGTTTCTGTTGTTAAATGTTTCTTTTTGGAATATCTCAGTGTTGCTTGGATTGCTGTTGTTATATTATTTATATAAAATGCAACTCTTCTCCTTAATTTGGCATTATAGGTTCAGATATGTTTCAGATGAAGCCTTTAAGCCTATATGTTTCCTGTATAATGGGCTCTCATGTTATGTATATAATATATACTGAACCAGTGTGGTACGACAATAAAGAAAAGACCTAAGAAGCATTCTAAGTATAAAATTGATTCATGTCTGAAGATAATCTTATGTGTAGATGTTATGATAATGCTTTAGGAGGATTCACTTCAGTGTCTTTAGCGGTAGGTGTGGTTGGCAGGAGGAGAAGCAGGGTCAGTACTGATGTCACACCTGAGGGGGGTGTGGTGGCTCTGTCCCTGTAACCTTCATTAGCAGCAGTTTATGTTTTTCGCTAAGGCGGGAAACAATAGTACCAATGTGTTGGTTTGTGTCGGAGTTTTGCAGTAGTTCCTGTGTGGTGCGTGTTTTGGCCGTGGTGCGTAGGCTAGTACAGTTATCGACTCTCAGTGGTGACTTGTTTGCCGGCGTCCGGCTGGTTATAGGTTTGTATCATAGACTGTATGCATTGTATGGGCATGTAAGTAGCTTGAAGGTGTTAGGGCTGTTGTTGCTTATCCGAGTTCGGATGCAAGAATTTTGTGCAGGTCAATAGACTACATTTTTGTCTTGATTTGTTCCTTCTTCTATTACGCCCTTACTTTGTTCTAATCTTTGGGTAAATTTGAAACATGGTCGAGTTTCCAACAGAGGACTTCTTTGAAACTGATGTGACATGTGCACGGCTGGCTAAACTGGATAAAACTAAACTATGGAAACTGATGGAATATTTGGAGTTGGATGCCCGAACTCATGCAGAGTATATTGGTAAATTGAAGAGAAAGCCAGGGAGTGTGAGCGAAAAGAACGAGAGAGCGAAAGAGAGCATGAAGAAATAAAACTTGAATTCGAGACTTGACCTTGACGTAGTAGGTGTGGTTGGTCGGAGGAGGAGGAGAAGCAGGTAGGAGCTGGTACGAGGATCTTGGCAGTGAGTCACCTACACGCACCCCTCAAACAGACAGGACAGTTGCACACACATTCAGGTAAGGCAGGATATACCTTCACGTTTACGCAACACATAAGGAGAGGCATTAAGTTACGGGCTCACTGGCCTTGTCAGGCGCAAGGATAGCATTTAGCGGTGGGTTTGTGTAGCGGCGTAACAGTAACCTAATCCTATTTAAAGGGCCCATATTCTGCTTTTTCTGGTTTTATATGCTCTTTAGTGTGTTTTCCAAGTGTCCTGTGCATGTTTAGGCACATCTATTTGCAAAAATTCAAAGTCTGCGTAAACGCGGCTTCTCCTACGTCCTCCTGTTAGCTGCAGCATTATCTGCATGTAACGCTCCGTTTAGCCCCCCTCGAAAAAAAATTGCTAGTGTGACGTCATTGTCAGTGTGCTATCACTGATCTAAGCCCATTGGCTCGTTGTGGCAAGCCCAGCAGCACATGTTGCACGCCCGTTAACTTCTGTAGCACGCCCACGATATGCGTAGCCTGCAGTAGCACAGTAGTGCTAAGGCGCTAATGTTTTTACGCTCCCCTCGGACGGAGCCAAAGTGGCTGCATTCCCAATATGGTGAAAGGGGCGGGACATTTCCGAGAACCGTGCTGAGCGACTGACCAATTAAGGCAGAGCCGACAGGCCGACCAATCAGATCAGACTTGGCACATGTGGGGATTCTGCACTTCAGAGCCTTAGAGAGAGATTCAGAAGCGAGCCGGTGCATGGAGCAGCAGTAGCCTACATGAAAACAGACACTTTTTTTCAAACTTTAGCAATTGTGAACATACTTTAGTAGGTACATAGATTAAATATATGAACCCCAAAAAGGACATAATATGGGGTCTGTAGGGTAAGTTGACTTTGACAGCAGCTGCCATGGGCACTAAAAATAGTCGTGTAGCGTAAACCACAGACTTCCAAAAAAAGGATTGTCTGGCATATCTGGAATGAAGGCAACATTCATTGCCTATATTTTCTCTGTCTGGCAATTTCATTTTCACACAGACAAAAATAGAGGTTATTGTTTGCTTATACACTAAATCTGTTTCTGCAGGTGAGAGTCAATGTTCCATCATGGTGTGACAGGATCCTATGGAAGTCCTACCCGGACACACACATCCTCTGCACTGCATACGGTAAGATCTCTATAACAATCAGGCTGGAACAAAATGTATGGGAGTAGCAAAGGGAGGGCAGTGCAAAAGTATAGACATAAACATACGTTTTGACGTAGTAAACCTAAATTATATATGTGCAGTTTTTTTTTTTTTTTTTTTTACCACCGTAACATGTCAGAAACCCTTAAAATAAATACAGTCAATCCTAGATTCTGGTTTGTGGTTTAGACAGAAACAGTCATTTCCTCTCAATACAGGCTGAACTTCATAATGAACCCAGCAAACTATCAAGTCATAACAGACACTGGGTGGGAAACTTCCTTCTGTGCCTTTATGACACATCTTATGAAATATTGCAGATCTCTTATCTGAAATTAGTTTTTGTCTTGTGTCAGAGAGTAAGAACACAAGCAAGGATTCAGAGAGGAGGAAACAAAGTCAGTAAGTGGAAATGAACAGCTTTAAGTCCGATCAGAATGGATATTGATCTGTGGTTGCATAGAGGGACTGGCTGGGATGACAAGGAGCTCAGTGGAGAGGTTCAGTTGAAGGTGGTTTTCATTCATCCATTTAGAGATATCGGCAATGCATAGCAAAATTCTTACTGAGTCTGTAACGTCATCTGGCGGGGAATGGCAAGAAGAGCTGGATATTGTCAGCATATCAGTGACAGGCGTGTCTTCTTCTGTACCCATGAATGACAGTGATTCGTTTGTAGCACATGATGCGTTAGGCAGGCAACAAGAGGAGGAGATGTAGATAAAGGCAGGAGTCGCAGATGTCCTGGCTCAGTGGCCTTGCTCAGTGGACTGGCTGAACCACAGCTGAAACTGCTTTTGTTTAATTTCACACGTCCGAACCTGCCCCTGCTGGATTTTCCTCCGTCAATCAACAGAGGGTGTGACCCGTGTCAACTGACCTCTCCTCATGATGCTCAGATTTTCTAGACTCACTGAAGCTGACTGCAACCTTCCTAATTTTCATATCAGTGCTTGATCTGCTGGCAGTTTCAGATTCAGACTCTCCTTATAAGGCTTAACAGTCTTATACACTGACTGTAGCTACAGTACTTATGAGCTACTCTAAGTTGTTATTGAATGGCTAACCATAAATGGATTTGTGGGCTCTCACCAGGTTGCACAGATGACATCTTCACCAGTGATCACTCTCCTGTTTTTGCCACTTTCCAAGTGGGAGTGACATCACAGTTTAGACCAAAAACAGGTGCGGTTGTTATTGTGGCACTTTGGAATCAAATAAGTAACATAAAATGTAATCTTTTTATGATCTGAACAGTATTGCTTTTTCTTTGTCTTGCACAGATAAAAACTCAAGCATAGAAAAGGCCTGGATAGAGCTTGAAGGCATCGAGGCCATTGTGAAGACAGCAAGCAAAGCCAAGTTCTTCATTGAGTGTATCTCGACCTGCCTTGAAGGTACGGGGTCACATCAAAAAAGACATTTTATATAAAGCACCATGAAGCACAGTGACAATAAGTCATTCAAATCCTTCTCTGCAGACACACGACGCTCAAGTGAGAATGACTCGCAGGGCTGTGATGTTCCTGGGTTTCTCAAACTGGGCTGGTCCTTCAAACAACTACCGAAGGTTAGAGGCTCTGTCCATTCCAATGCAGCTAAAAGTTTAGTTTGTTTCTCAAGCGAAATTATTAACTTGTGGTTTGCGTTTGTCTGTCGCAGCTTCTTCCCATCATGTCCGACATGGAGTACCTCCAGGAGCAGCACCTTCTGTTGTCTGTCAAATCATGTGATGGATTTGAGTCATACGGTTGGTCGCCTGACAAATTAATAGTATCCAATGAACTACTCAATACAAACATCCCTGTTGGTTGGTAGTTATGCTACTAATTGCCCTTAAAGTGAAAATGTTAAATTATCAAAATGATTTCCCTTCTTTTTTTTTAAGCACCTAACACAAGTGCTCTTTACCAACCAAGACATTTTCTTATGCTTTGATAATGTTCTTAGATTTCAGCTGAAGCTTAAAGCGTCTATCTAGCCACTGATGGGAAACCTCGCTCTTATTGGATTGATGAATTTTGAAGCACTCACGACATATTTTTTTTTTTTAACTGTTATAGTCTTGCATGCACTCAAAATGAAAAGACATTGACATCCATTGTATTCAACAACAAACAGGTTGTCAAAAACTAAGAGAAAGTCAAAGAAGATGATGATCAAGATATTTTCTCAGTTATGATGCGATATCTTTTTGATCTAATAAATATTCTTTTTACAGGTGAATGCTGTGTGGCTTTGCGCTCCCTCACTGGTGCATCCGAGCAGTTTGAGACTTTTTTGAGTCACCGTGGTGAAGAAATGGGCTCTATAAGGGGTCGGGTGAGGATCCATGTGCCCAAAGACAGAAGGGGAACCCGGCAGAAGTCCTATGGTGGGTATAGCCGGAGCTGCCCTTCTCTTACTCTGCCTTGCTTGCACTATCACTTCCCACTAAACTTTCATCCACTCTGTCACTGCCTTCTCTGTCTCTCCTGTGAGTTTCACATTGCTTCCTCTATTTGGTTCCTCAACGATCCCTGCCTAGTCTTTACGCTTGCTGGTATCTATCGACCACTTCCTTTTTTGGCTCCTGACTGACTGACCCTGACCAGATGCATCCTGAGACACTGAAAGCAGGACAGATGAGTGTAATGTCACCAGGTCAGACACTTCAACAACAAACACAAACACTCATTGTGCCTTGTGATGCAACCTGGCATAGCCTTTAGCCAACACACCACCGAATACTTTGAAGAAGTCTTGCTCATTATGAAACCTAATGTTGATTTCCTGTGATTTGACTTTTACAGATATGTTCTATTTTGAGAAAGATCTTGCAAGAGGACACATGTCTCCTGCACATCCTCGTGTCCAAGTTAACAGGTGAGAAACTTTTTTTTTTTTTTTTTGGTGAACAACAATCCAAACTTTTTATAGTCTAAAGGGCCCTTCAGATAGGATGCAGTGTTTGCTGCGCTCACTGCGGGTTAGGGCGCAGAGCACTGGGGGAGAGGTCAGGGAGCTCTGACCTTGCTTCTGCTGAATAGGAGAAAGTGTTATACAAATGTATTGATGCCTTCTCAGTTAAAAAAAAATCAAGACATGCTTGTTTATTTCAGGCCGTTGGCAGCTCCCTCCAAACTCACTCCAAGCAGCTACACCAATCCAGCATACTTCATCTTTGAGGGTGTGTCTGTGACACGCAGGGTGGAGGAGGCTGTCCCTCCGCGTCGGGACCCTCAGGTGATCTGGTCTGGAAATGAGGCCTTGCAGCTCCCAAAAATCCCAGGACATCAGGGGTTTGAAAGGAGACCCTGTCGCAGATCAGACTTTACAGAGATTGAAATTCCAGCAGTCCTGCCTCAGTACAGCCCAAAAAATGCTCTTCACACACCCCAAACAAACTCTTCCTATCAGCTTTTCCCAGCTAAAAACCCGTCTCCCATACCTCAACCCTCAAGTAACACCAGCTCACAGTATCAGGAGAAGACTTCACAACCCAGAGACAAATACCAAGGTAAACCTATAATTCAGGAATCAATACTTCCAGAGAAGAACCTGAGAAACTTGTATATGAATCACTCACAAATCATCAGGGAAGAGGCCAGAAGGGATCCACACCAGCTTCTTCCAGAGAGGACCAATCCTATCCAAGCAGCTAAGAAGCCATCAGCCTTCCCCTACATCCCTACTCGCTTAGCACACTGTCAGGCCACCGTACCCTGGATAGTGGATCAGCAGCCACCTGCACCTACAGGAGACAACTCCCTCACCGCTTTGCAAATCGCCAAGTCCCTCAGCGAAGTCGACTTTTTCCCCTCTGAGCAGAGAGGCCCATCCATACCCAACCAGAGATCGAGTTTTAGAAACGGCCCTTCTATGCAAGGAGACAAAGCCTCCATGTGGGAGGCAGAGGTAGGACACTGTTCTCAAAGACAGTCTATTGTAGACTTCAGTCCTAGATCTCTGTGGAAGAGTAAACTCCCTCTGTTTCATTTCAAAGCAGGTTTCAGTCCTCCAAGGTGCACCGGAGACTGTGCGGGAGCTTCTCAGTGCTCTGGGTCTTCAAAGATACACCCTGGGACTCAGTCTCAATGGCTGGGATGATCTGGATTACTTCAGGTAAAATGATTATTGAGGGGGGGGGGATGTTCAAATGCAATATAATGATACATGTTACATACCAACACTCTTCTAGACATTTCTATAAAAACAACCCTTTTATTGTCAAATACATGTTTTAAAAATCACAACCTATTTTTGTAAAAATCAACTGTGAACTGACTGAATTACAAATTAAATGTCACAGGTTTCAGACACTTGAATGTAAGTTTTCTTGACGCCAACATCTGGTAGCAACTACAAAAACTACAACTACACTGAGGCATGTTGGTTGCTACTAGAAAAATCTATAGATCCAATTAATGCAACCCGTTAAGACTTACACATTGTGCTAGTTGTAACATGAAGCCCAAAAAGCCAAAAACCCATCAGTATCTATCCAACACTGACCTGTACATTTTTTTTTTTGTGCATATAGCTTGGGTTCTGCTTTCCTTTTGCTTGCATGCATACAATTTTAAAAACACACGGCAACTATAAATTAAGCCCCATTTCATTCTTTTAGTGAGAGAGATACGTATATTCATGTTTAGAGATCAACGCAGTGTTCACAAGGCAGAAGCAATTCCTTGTGTCTCAGTTTGAGGGCCTAATCAAATTACTAGTGCACATGTGACTAGTGCTCATGATCTATGTAAGTGACTGAGCATGTCGCGTCAGGTCAGCAATTAAAACCTCCCCTGGGGTACACACACACACGCTTAAATAATTCCACTAAAGGTTGTGTTAATACTTTGGCACTGCATGGATTTCTAGAGACTAAAATGACTGTAATGTTGTTAATTTGACAAATTGTGTTAAATTTAGTGTGGATTAGCACTACACTTTTAGTTAAATGAGGCTGTGTTTACAGTGGTGTCACTGAAGAGGATCTACGCGCTGCAGGAGTGACAAACCCCTCTCACAGACGCAGGATCCTTGAAAGCCTGCCCAGGAACTGGAACTGATACACCCAGATGAAAAACATTAATGGTACGATGCCTCATTGTCCTATAAATCCAACTGGAATAATAATTTAAGCCCAGATCTGAAGGAAGGAAAGACTTGTCGGATATCAGTCACATCAGATGGACCAAACAAAACAACCCTGCCTTCTTTTCATGTACTCAATCAATTACTGTAAAAGTAGTTTGAGTCTACAAAGCAAAGGGAACACAGCACATGAAGCACTTCCTCCATCCACCTTGACAGATAATGAAAGAAGCGAGTTGAATGGAATGCTTGATGTGAACCTCCACTTACTGATATAAATATTGATCATTACATCAAGGTCTCATTGATTTTTTTGTTTTTGTTTTAATTAATTTGAAAATGACTCTAAAAATATAGTCCTTTAACTTCCAGTGTTCTTACAAGGCCTGTGTTTACAATTCACCTTCATCCCTGCTACTCCATTATTCTGCTATCATTGAGCCTGTGAGCTGAGCTTGTGAAAGCCCTCTGTTAAACCTCTGGAGCATAAAATCCAGAGAACTGTACATATCTACTGGAGCATTGTCTGTAAATGTGGTGCAGAGGGACCTTTCGTATCTAATTGTGTCACCTGTCTCATACTTTCGTTATCATGCCACTTAATCAGCACTTATGTCAACTGTGCATGTTTTATGCAACCTTTGTAAAGTAAAGTGCATAAAGTGACTCTTGACCGTTACCAAGCAATCACTGGTGTTATTTTATGCCGTCAAGCATGGAATCAGAGAAATCTTTTCTTCATATCTGTTCCGTTTGAGTGCTCAAATTACAACATCACAGTATGCTGCGTGTCAGTTTGTTAAATGTCACCTATAAACACAAGTGTAGCCTTTTTGATCCATTGAGGTCACTCTAGTGAAAAGCAGCAGTCACTGCAAACAGTAAGCGAGATAACACCATACATAGATATACACAGATTGTTTTATATATTCATTGGAAAAGAGACTGCTCGTCCAATCATCTGGTATGTATTTTATCTGAATGTTACAGCAAGTATATTTCTTGAGTGACCATTTCTTTTGCATCGCTTTGATTCATTATGATAACAATAGTTTACAGAGGTTCTTCTATAAAAGTGCATAACCAATATTCCCCCTACATCTGAGAAATATTACTTTTACAACCTATAACAACTAATTCTAGTAAGATTAAACCTTTTATGTGTGTTTACAGGTTGTCTAAAATGAAGACCAGGTCCATAAACAAACATGTGAGAGTTGTATTTATCGGCTCAGTTAAATTATAGACCACAGCAGAAAGGGATTTGACAACTCTGCACTGCAAAATCTCCTCTGTTAACATCTGTGCTGCTGCTTGTAGCATTCTTTTGGGGTTGTTACTTATTAAAGCATGACCAAACACATCCCTCTTGTTGTCTGACAGCAGAGACAGCAGGTCAGTGACCACTGAGTCACTGCTTTACCCACTGAAGTGATATCATCACCTGCTGAGAATTTGGGCAATGTGAGCTTCAGGAAGGAAGGAAAAGGGTGGAAAGAATTTAATGTTTTCCTTTTAATACTCTTGTGTTGAATTGAAGAATTGAATGTGAGCTTGAAACAACATGGTTTTCTGCACCTACACATTTTAATAAGTGATAAGTGAGTATTTTTTTTTTTTTTTTTTTTTTTAGAATTGTGACTATTTAATATATTAAAGTTAAAATGTCCCACTCAGGCATATTTCAAGATCAAATAGCCCCCTTCAAATAATTATTAGTGTGTGCTGTGGCTGGCACAAAATGCCAAAAAATTGATGTAGACACACAATTGTGTAATTTCAAAGTTTAATACGTCTCCTTATACATAAAACATGTTTCTTAGTGTGTGCACTATAGATTTTGCATTTCAAAGTTACATGCTGGACCATAGTTGGCTTTTAAAAAAAGACAGTAAGTGTTTGCTAAGGTGTCATGGTCACACATGCATCATTCAGCACAGTGAATATTAAACATCTAAGTGAAGAATTAAAACATTTATTTGAGAGGAGAGTGACTTAAAGACAAAATAAAAGAAAACAGTTTAACTACAGTTGACAAATGAATTCATGGTTTTTGGTTTGTTTGCAGGTGTTGTATAAACTGAAGCTGCTCTTTGAGTGGGCGTCGAATGAAGAATATGTTTGTCAGTCATCCACTCACATTCCAGGACTGAGCTAGTGAAACAAACACAAACAGACACTAACACACAAGAATACACATGTTGAGAATGGGTTGAAGGGGTCTGGTCTCTCTCCCTAAGTGAGATGTAATAGCAAGCTTTAATCTGTAAAAAAAAAATCTCAAATCTGCAGTTAAGCCTTGGAAATAAGAAACACCATTACACCTGTGGATAATCTTTGCTTTACTTAGTATTTTTTTTAATCAACAAGAGGAGTTATATCAACTTTGCAGATCCACTTGTTACCAGAAAACTGAACTTTACAGGATTTCAACTCAGTGTACACAGATTTACGTCACATTTTTAACACTCCAATTGTAGATCATAAAAGAAGCCCTTCAAACGATCATGAACTTTGGGTGTTTGAGTTTGTTCGGTTTTCGGTAACTTATTAAGTGACAGCCTCATCCCACCTCATTTTTATAATCTGTCTCTGGCAACTGCATTGGTCATACTACATTTTATTCCTTTATGATCATACTTCATAATCCGACACCTTATCATGTGAACCTTACAGAAAAGCCGGAGATGGCAAACATCTCTGAGAAGGGGATGAGACATTCACAGCTGAGGAGAGCAAGTGTTGTGTTTTATTACTGTAAATACACACTACTGTAGCTACAGCTGTGCAAACATCAACTTACAGTATATGACAATTATGTATTGACTGCACCTAAGTCTTGTCACGGGACTGAGACACATGGTACCACTGATGGAGGGATGTAGTCACATTTTTACTAAATGCATAAAGTACATAAATATCACAATAGAGTGTTTCAAAACATCACTCCGGTGTGAAGTATTAACAGCAAAATGCCCTGTAGCCAACTTTCAAAAGTAACACTTCTAGTTGAGCAGTGTATACTGCTGCTTGTTTATGTGGGGTGTTAAAGTGTAAGCAGTATTTTCATGTTGTGGTCCAGATATTGCTGAGCCTTGCTAGTCTTTCTTTTTGTGGGAAAATGTACCGGTAGGGTATTGCAATAAAGTCGTGAGAAAATAACATATAACATTTAGAGGGATACATTTAATCTAGAGGAAATTATTTGAACAAATGTTGACTCAAATGAGAATCTTTGATATGCCGGACCTATTTATATCCAGACTTGGATCCATTAAATAAATAATAATTGTGTTAATCAGCAATCTTTTAGAAGTCGCCTGTGTAGCATAGCTGAGTGTTTTGGCTGCTCAAGTTTGTATTTCTAAACTTCACACGCCCCTCATTGAAAGTGACTACCACTGAAGACTTTTTAGACAGCAGTTTCGCCCACTCAGCACCCTGACTTCCCATTTCAGTACTATAGTTTTGAAGCCCATGGGCTGCTGTCCGTGTATCCTGGCACTCGGTGTTCTTGAAAAGGTTTGAAGCGGAGCCGACATGGACTCCAGCAGCACGACTTCCAAAACGCAGAAGCTTTTAGTGCGTATCTAATGTGAGCCGGCTGGAACAAGAAGACGGACGAACAAGAAGAAGAAGAGAGAGGAGCAACAGCGACTGGTCCTTAGCTCGAAAAGTTAAAAGTTTGTTGGTGAAATTAGACGAATTTTCTGAAGCACGACACGATAGCAACACTTGTTGAGGATCCTTGTTGGGGTGAGTAGCGAAACCTGGGCTCTTCTGTTAGACGAGCGGGTCTTATGTTCTTTAAAACGTGCAAGGCACGGCACGGCACGTTTATTTATATAGCACATTTCAACAACAAGGCAATTCAAAGTGTAAAACCTAATGCTGAGAAACAGTGGAGAAATGTGGTTTGAGAATTTATTTACAATTTAAACTATTAAACCTTAATAATAATAATAATAATAATTATTATTATTATTAAACTAAGTAAACAAACATTAGACATTTAAATCACCCCCTAGGGGGGGTCCTTACCCCCACTTTGGGAACCAGTGCTGTAGTGGGCTCAACTTGTGACACCTTGTTGCAGGCTATCTCACCATTTCACATGTCTGAAAAAGTTATCTAAAGTTTTACAATACATTTCTGTAAGGGCTATGTCGTTACACATTACCCCGTTGTAAGAAAGCAGTAAAATAGCTCCAGTTTAACCTCATACAACATTAAAGATGCTTAAAATGCAACTCACATTACAACCTCATTAAACCTATATCATAGTCATATGAAAGGGGGCATTCTTAATGAATGTACTTACTTTATGAAACTTTACTGTATATATTTATATATTTACAGTAAAGTAAATATACTGTAAATATATATATGTACTACAGAAAAAGTGCCTATAGAGTATTTTGACCTTTTTAACAAGGTTGTCAACTTTGACTCCCCAACCGTTTAATGTAAAACTAGCAACTTAGTGTTTAGTTACTGGTGGTGTGTTGCTGTTGTTTTACTGGTTTCTTACTATTTATTATAAATTGCCAGAAAAATAGTGTAATAATAGTGAAAAAAAAAAACACCAGTATTTTTTAGACCTAGATTAATATCCTCAAAGTTACAACCTCTGCTTTTTTTCAAATGTTTTAAATTAAATTACATGCGTATTTTATTTTGAAAGTAAAGTTGAATTGTTATTGTTTTGTAGGGTCAATCATCATCCTGCTTGACAGCGCTACACCGAAAAGTCATCACAATGGGAAGGTTATTCATCAGCCCTAGCACACCCAACAAGTCAATGGTGTTCACCTCCATCTTCAACTCCAGCTGTCGCTTCGATGAGGAGTTCAAATACATCCTGCTTCCAGTGTCCTACAGTCTGGTGTTTGTGGTCGGTTTCGTGCTCAACGCTGCAGCTCTGTGGCTCTTCCTGAAGATGCGTCCGTGGAACCCGACCACAGTGTTCATGTTCCACCTCGCCCTCACCGACTTCCTGTACGTCCTCTCGCTGCCCACTCTCATCTACTACTACGCCAACCGCAGTCACTGGCCCTTTGGGGTGGCTGCCTGCAAAGCTGTGCGATTCCTCTTCTATGCCAACCTTTACTGCAGCATCCTCTTCCTCACCTGCATCAGCGTGCACCGTTACCTAGGAATCTGCCACCCCATCAAGGCGCTGACCCTAGTCAAGTCCCGCCACGCCCATCTGGTGAGCGGCATGGTATGGGCAGTGGTGACCATCTGCTTGGTGCCCAACCTCATTTTTGTCACCACATCCAGGAGAGACAATGACACTCTCTGCCACGACACGACCAGCCAGGAGGCATTTGAGGAGTACGTGGACTACAGTTCAGTTGTCATGGTGCTCCTGTTTGGAGTCCCTTTCCTGGTCATCGTGTTGTGTTACTGCTTAATGGCTCGAGCCCTGTGTCGGCCCAGACAAGGAGTTTCCGCAGGCCAACGGGGTGCTGCCTCGCGTCAGAAATCCATCAAGCTCATCGTTGTTGTATTGGTGGTGTTTGCCGTGAGCTTTGTCCCGTTTCACATCACACGGACCATCTACTACACGTCCCGTGTATTAGATCTGAACTGTGAATTCCTCAACATTGTTAACTTTACATACAAGATCACCAGGCCACTGGCGAGCATCAACAGCTGCATTGATCCCATTCTGTATTTCTTGGCAGGGGATCACTACAGGTCAAAACTGATGTCTGCTCTAACTGGAAAAAGACAAACGACAAGCAGCCAAAGCCCTGAACAGGCACAAACACAGCCAATCAATAACCACAACATCGCTCTGGTGTATAAAAACTCAGCTCTGAAAGACAGTGGAGAAATCCAGAGATAGTGTGAAATATGTATTGACAATTCCTACTCCAGGCTAAGCTAACTTTTACAATGTAGGAAGAGAACCAGCTGCTGTTATCTTCCTTTTTTTATTTTGCACTAAGAGATATGGAAGAGAATCTGATTACCACATTTTTTCACAGTGTGTGATAGTACTCCATTAAACCTCTGTAATAACCCGTGTTTTGATTACACTCACTTTCTTGAGGTCGCTGTGTTAGACAGATGAAATTGAAGCAGTTTTTAACCTAAGAGTTTTTACTGTCAGGTGTTCCTCTTTGTTGAGAAAATGATTCCTTTCTAGTAGAAAAGTTTCCTGCTTGATTTTTTAAATAATGGGAACAGCAGCAGTGACAAAGGTGGTCACAGCTGCTCTAAAGTCCATTTTGAAAGATTCAGTTTGTGTGTGTAAGATAGTACAAGTACTGATCTAACATATAATAACAAATATGTCTGATTTACTGGCTGTTTCTGTCTCCAAAATTAGGCAATCCTTCCTGTTTTATCAACATTTTATGTGTTACCAAGAAACTGCAGCTCTTGACACCAGCTGTTTTTGTCCTTTACTTTTCACAGTTGTCTGTCTCTTGCTCCACTATGGAGCAACAACAGAGACGCTGATCTGGACGAGAGATATCATTTACAAACCGCCCATGCATCATTAGAAGAATAATGGATTTTCCTTTTCACTTCTTTACCTTTGGGATTGATACATGAAATCTAAAAGCTTGTTTGCTATCAGGACTCTAGGCTAAACTCCTTGATAGTTTTAGTCAGAGTAGGAAACTTTTACTTACTGTAATTCTACAGAGTAGGAAACTTTTACTTACTGTAATTCTACAGAGAGTAGGAAACTTTTACTTATGGTTTTTCTACAGAGCATCCGTCACTCTAGCCTTGTTTATAATGTTGATGTATGCAGCAGATGTTTTATACAGCTCTGTGTCATATGTTTTCTCATGATACTATATAAAAGTAGTATCTGTAAAGATGTTCTTTAAATAACAGATATTTATCATGCAGTGTGAATGTGAGAGTTACTGTGGATTACTGTGTGTCATGTATCATGTAGGCGATGAGTAAGAAATCACCGAAAGTACAATATTAACCAAACTCCTTCTATACATGTTTTATTTAGGGTATTTATGTGAACCATCTGTGAAGCAAACCTGTAACTAACGTCACTTAATTTGACCTAAATACAGTAGATGCAGTAGAGCTGATGTTTGGGAATAGAAAGCAGAGTATCTCAGGTTTCAGGAAATAAGGGAGAAACAAAAACACCAAAGTGATGACAAAAACAGTTTTGATCTTTGATTTCATACAAACAAAGAGGGCTTTTCTTTAATAAGATTGTTTGCTTCATTTCCACTATATCTATGATAAAGTTTATATTATGTGACAAAGATAAAAAGATAGATATATTTACACTAGCATACAAGATTAGGGCCTTCAATCATAATGTTTCTAAAGTCCCTTTAAGGTTATAAAACCTGCAGTACTTTCTGCAGTAATACCACCTTCTGTTATTTCTTTGTGTCAGTGCTTCATTGTAGCTATATGGTGTATGCATGATGAAATATTCAAAGGTAAAATCACATATTTTTATGGCAGAATTTTTATTTTTCCTCACAATATGTTTGCTGTCAACGCATTATTTTATGAAAATTTCAAACATTGTTTAACTTGGAACAAAGTTTGTCCACATTACACAATTTATAACGCTTTATAAAAAAGCTTTATATCATTAGGAATATAAATATGAAAAAGTGATGAAGAATATTCTTACTTAAAATTAAAATAACTCACATTTGAACATAATTCAACTCATTCCATATATTACCAAAGACGAGAAAATCTGTATTTTCCCCCACATTATTGAATAGTAGGTTAAAAACACTGTCTATGAATATATTGATGGAAATATGATTATTATTATCAGTGCTGTTGGTCTTGGGCATTTTTAAAACTCCATATTAGGTTTTGTAATCATAAAACTCCATATTAAGTTGTATAACCCGGCCTACAGAAACATTCTTACAACAGCATCTTCATCTTGTCCTTCACATTTGGCCAACTTCTAAAGCGTATAACAAGTGAAGAGTGACCCTGACAAAAATCTGCTATAGATTCAGCACATACAGTATTTATTCACTTTGATTGATGTCAAAAAGGTTTCAAAATGTTTGAAAGAGTGGGCTACAGGTCAACTGATGTTCAGGGAGGAGTTGATGGCTTGAAGGGAAATTGGCACTGGGCTGAGAGTTGTTTGGTTGCTGGTTAATGGAGTTTGATTGAACAACTATATTGACTTTTGGTATTGGACTGCAGATGGTGGACTTGGTGACTTCTGGGTTGAGAGAGGGGTGAAGGGCGAGGATATCCACTGAAGGCCTGTATAGGTCTGGTAAGACGGTACTTTAGTGCTGCTCCTTCTTGACTCACTGGGAACCCTGGGGCCGCTTGTCAATTGCTGTGCAAGTCCCCAATCACAATCCTTCATCTTTCTCTTTTTTCTTTCTCTTTTGTATTCACCTTTTGGTTCTCACAGTCTGTCGTGGTGCATGAAACTTGTTCAGAAACTGTTGACATTGAAAATGGAACACCCCAAGGCTCAGTAAGAGGTCCAGTCTTTTTCAATGTCATGATGAATAACATCTTTAAAAAAGTTCCTCATGCCTTTTGTTTGCCCCTTTTGCAGACAATGGCGCCATCTGGAGGAAAGGGGAAATAAATCAGCATTTGTTCTTGCAAACTCAGAAGGCCTTGGATCAGGTTGTACAGTGGGGCAGATGAGTGGTGACTTGAAATGGAAAAACCCTGCTCTTAATCTTTCCATGTAGCCTGCGATTTGTTCTTTAGAAAGAGTCAAGATAGAAGGAAAAGAAGTCAAATTTTCTTTATCCCATAAAACAGCTTTCTGTTAACATTGGGCTTGAGTAAGACAGCGTCATTGGGTTTTCAGGTCTCCTGTTCCTTTTTGGTTTCTGAAGAATAGTAATGTTCCAAGTGGTAAAAAATAACAATTTTGTGAGTAAGTTCAGAAAGAATTTGTGCAGATTTCTACTGGTGGGTCTTGAAAAGGATCTCCAGTTTTTGGGAAGTCTTGCTTTGTATGTGTAAGGTATGTGTACGTGGCTAATCATGAAAGCCAACGGAGCATCCGCATATCTGATGATTAACTGTATTTTTAGCAGAACTGCTGTCAATCCCAGGGCCATGTGGTGGCTAAAGCTGGTCAAACCCCCTAAAAGAATAAGAAAAATTGGATGTTGTGTTGAATTTCTGTGGATACCTGTCACTCAGACATAGAGGTAAATTACATTTCTGACAAGCTGGCCAAAAAAATCTTTGATAAATGATAAATGTTGATTTGAATGTTTTGCTGGGTAAATGTGAATGTTTCAGGGTCTGCAAAGAAATGAAGCAAGAATGGCAAGAGGAGTGGAAGGAAGAACAGAGAGGCAGAGATTGTTCCCCTGTGCAGAGGTTGATTTGAAACTCTGGGAGAAGCGATGATGTTGTTATCACCAGGCTAAAGACTGGGCCATTTGGCAGGGTATCTTAATGTTAAGGGTATCTGGAAGCTTCCAGATGGTCTATGTCAATATGGGAGTTTGGAAACTTTTGATCATGTTTTATTTTTGTGTGAAAGATACAGACATGACTCAGATCTGGGTTTTTTTTCTTCTTTCTCTCAAAAATCTATCTTTTCCTCTGAACCGTAGATCCAACTTATTGGCAGAGCGCTCAATACATTTCTTCATTCAACTGACCTGAACCTAAAAATACAAGATAGACTACAAACTTTACCTGCGGAGGGCAGCATTACACTTCCCAGTGAACAGTCTGTCTGAATTTTATTAGAAGAAGAACTGATAATGAATGTTTAATATTTACATTGTATGAATGCAGCTCAGACTGTAAAGCTCCGTCAGTCCAGTTTCCGAGCGCCCCCCTGTGGCCGGATTTTGACAGGAAGTTGTATAGCAGCAGTTTTGGAGGGAACCGCTTCTCAGCTAGGTGCCTCAAGATGAACAGACTACCTTGACGCTTGCACGTAACAAAATTAATTAATTTAAACGGTGCCCTCAGAGTAAGTTGTTGGCTTGTGCCCCCCTTGCTGTCTTACAGACAACGTAGGAGAACCATATAAGCTCCAGAAACACGGTTTAACCCCTGTGTTGTAAAAACACTCTGCGTTATAAAAATGTCCACGTTTACATAAATATGAAAAGTCAAACATGTAGGCTACCTGCTAGTTTACTACAGACAATTGGCCAAATCAACACACCTGAGCTGGGTTGTAACCTATGCTACTACAGTTGTAGTAATAAGTTATTTTTGTGCTCTGACTCTATTTCACCAGAGAGCTTTTAGTCATAGGAGTGTCCCAGGAAAAAAACAGTAGGACTTAGGTTTGTAAATTGTCAAAGTTATTTGCTCCGTTCATTTAAAGCTTACCGATAAGGAGATATTCAGAGGACTCCTTCCCCTCCCTGCCTTGCATGTGTTGAGCACAGAGGAGTTGGCTTGTGTGAAAACTTGCCTATTTGGTTTTAAGCAGAACAGAAAGAAGCTTCGTTTAATTTGCCTGGTGATAGGCTGTGTATTGTTTTGTGTGTGCACAACAATAAACCACATGTTCCCCGTGTTGGCTGCTTTACAAGGTTTAAGATAAAGCAAAAACTAATCATTATGCTTAATAGAGGCGGTTTCCTTTAATGAGTTAATTTTTTTTTTTAACTACTGCCTAGTTAGTATGTGAGAATATTGCCTACAACAGAAGAAAAGCACGTTTATCTCAATCTAGTGATGAATTGGATATTTAGATCTCTTTTTTTTTGGTTTGGCCAATGGTCTCCCTTGAAAAAGAGCTCTCTTGATGGTTGCTCTTCTTTAATAGGTAGGTATTATAACAGCTGAATATATTGATTATTTTTGTAAACAAAGTCTCTGCAGGCTTTTTTTTTTTCTTGTAACTGTGAGCCTAAATGCGATTATCGGATAAACAGCCCATTGCCTTGTTGGTTTATCTCTTTTGTAATCAGATATTTAAATGAAACAATTCACAGTAAGTTCATTTTACATGAAGCGGAGATCCGCCGTGTGCTTCTCTATTGACAGTTTATGATGGGATGAACTGATAATTAACGGGATGATTAACATGTATTGTCTGTAGTAGTGTCAGGAGAAATGTCATTTTCGATATTTTCACAGTCCCAACCCCTGCCTGTAAAACAGCACCACGGGTATTGCTTTAATCCCTTTACTTAATTGATATGATTGATTAGGCTACTTAAGGCCAATATGTCGACACTGAGGAAAGACATCGAGTTCGTCATCACGCAAAGTGACGTAGAAATTTAGATAGACTTCTGATTCATTTTGTGCGATTTGATGTGTAAATTATAAATTAATTTAATGCTGTTGACTTTAAATGTGACAGATTAAAAAGAGTAAGGCCACAATTTATCGAAAATATTAAACAAAAGAACGTATGGATAGCCTATAGGCGTGTGTTTGGCTGGAAACTAATTCAAGTAATGAGGCCTCGAAAAGCACATTTTTAAAGATATTTAAGGAATGTAAAGTATAGCCTATATTAAGTCTCTAAAAACTTTTTCAGTTGCTCTCATTTCGGTAAGTAAAAGGCAAACTTTCTTCTAAATTCATTTCAATCAACCGAGTGAAATTACTCTATTGGACAAATCTGCCGTGTCAGTGACCTTATAGTTACTTGATTGTTTTATTTGGATCCATCTGCCCTGTTTCTCTGGGTTTATTTGCGTTAGTACGATTTCTTCCCGGTTATAATCGACCATCATACAGACAGACAACAGCTGAAAAAAAACAAACCTTGATATCGTGCAGTGAGGATGTGAGTTTGTGTTCAAGGACACACTATGGAGGGCGAGCTCAATCAATGATCAGATTCAAGACATCTAGAGGAGAGAAGTGTTTTCTTAAATCTTCTTTTATTCTTAAAAGAAATATAGAAAACATAACCTCAGGGGCACGTTTCAGACTGCAGAAGTCTATTCAGCTCCAGACATCCATCATTCATTTCTTTTTTTTTTTTTTAAATGTGCAGTTCAGGACTGAGGAGCTTTTTGAAATGTAAAATATCCAATAAAAGTAAGCTACTCAACGCACGCTTACTATGGACTGTTAAACCATTTAAAAGTGTTTTCAAACTTTTTTAAAAAGTTGTTTAATCCAAAAGAATAAATGTAGGGGTTTTAAAGAGAAATCACAATGATTATCATCTCACAACCATGGCAACAACCTTATCAGAGTCAAGGACAATTTTATTTTAAGCCACTTCATCATCTGAAAATAAAGTGTACGGTATAGAAATATAGAAGATTTGCTTTTAATTAAAAGCTAATAATCCTGTGTGTGTGTGTGTGTGTGTGTGTGTGTGTGTGTGTGTGTGTGTGTGTTGATTGTGAGATACACCCACGCCTCGGCCTAAAGTGATGCATTTGTCGAGCCTTGAACATTTTTTTCTTCTTC